CAGCCCCAGCCCCGCCTCAGCGCCCTCACCCTGGGTGCTCAAGCCCTTGACCTGGGCCTCGGTGCTCGCTGTGAAGTTGCTGAACGTCTCTCTCAGGCCCCGCAGCTCCCGCTGCAGCTGGGCGTCTGGCCAGGAGAGGGTGCAGAGAGAACAAAATGGGAGCGCTGTGTCCACCACCACCGCACCCACCACTCCTTCGCCACGGTACCCCGTCAACACCCCCCAGTGTTGCCCCCTTCCCTGCCCACCCCTGGGGCACCCACTTTGGGATCCGATCACACAGACAACCACCAGCAGCAGGAGGCTGAGGCCCAGGGAGAGCAGGAGGAGGCGAGGGCCGGAGCAGAGACGCCGCAGGAGGGACTGCGGAGGAGGTGGCCCTGCGAGAGGAGGGGGTGTCAGGAGCGCGGGGACAGAGGGGAGCCTGGCACAGCTCCGGGGTCCTGAAAGGGGAACAAGCTAAGGCGGCCCTAGTAGTCTAGGAGGAACCATGCACATGAAAAAATGCGGGCGGTGGGCGACCCTGCAGGGCCAGAGGCAACTGGAAATCGGGGAGAAAAGAGGGCTGGGGAGGGGGGCTAAGCGCTGAGCCGCCCCATCCCACCGAGGCCCTGAGCTTTTGCTGACACCTAATGGCATGACTGCGTCACTGCAGCCAATCCAGGAGCCTCAGTCCACCCCCTCCTCCCGCGCCTTGCAACGCGAGTGAGTGCCCCGCGCCTCGGAGCCGCTGCTGCTTCCCCTGAAAGTGGGAAAAGGCGGGAGGTGTCTTTCTCTGTCCGTGAATTCCACTCGTCTTTGGCTGCGCGCAGGGAGAGAAGGTGCAATAGCTGCCCTTCAGGCCCTCAAGTCTTCCACCCAGCAGGGGGAAGAGACACGTTAGCCCTGTGTCCTGAGAGTTGGAGGGTGGGGGGCCCTCCCGGGGCTCTCCCTGGCCTCTCTCCTCCGCTGCGGACCCTCCTTCCGTCAAAACGCGCTGCACCCCATCCCCCAAGAACTCCAGCCTTGCCCAGCCTAAACAAGTGCCTGCTCGGAGGACAAAGAAATGGGTCAAGGGGAATTTGCTTTTGAAGCAAGAGGGTGTCGTTCTCCCACAGGTCAGAGATCCCTCATCCCCCGCACAGAATCTTCAGACCCTTCGCAGAAACCTTTGCCCACTTCACCAACCTGATCACTGACACACACAGGCACGCGCACACGCACACACGCGCACACACACACGCACGCACGACCAGGGCTCCCTGGGTGGTGTTGGAAGGGGAAAGGAAGAGGGGTCTGACTTCGTCATAGAAAGCCAACAGTGACCTCATCTCTCCAACTTCCAGCTGTTCCCACACCCCCTGGGTCCACCCCCGAGTGCCAGGAGGCACAGGAAAGCTTTGGGCAGCTGTCACCAAGAAAGGGACTCCAACTCCACACTCTGCCCCTCTCTTGAGAGGGGCAGCTCCGACGCTTTTCTCAGTGTTGGGAGAGGGAGACAGACGCAGAGAGAGAGCCAGGCTCACGGGCAAGAGTAGGAGCTGTGGCTGGGGGGTGGAGAACCGCCAAATTCTCGCCTTGCAGAGGCAGGGCAAGGCGGCCCTCACCTTTTCCGAGCTGATGGTGGTCACTCTCCTCATTGTCCAGATGCTGCAGGTCCTGATACTCCTTGGTCATGATGGGGCTGGTGCTGGAGCTGGGACTGAGTCAAGGCTGAGGCTGGGGCTGAGGTGGGGGCTCACCAGGGCTAGAGCTGGAATGAGGGGCCCATCTTTTTACTCCCATCTGATTGACGGCTCCATGGAGACCTTTCTTCTTTCTTTCTCTCTCCTTTTTTTTTTTTTTTTT